GGTGTCTGATATCTTATCTCGTGCATTGTGATATCCGTCTTCACGACTTTATTTTCCGGTCCCATTCCTTCTTAACAGATTGCTTGAATGAAAGAAACTTAGAAGTGATTTGACGGACTGCTGTCTGCAAAAATGCCAGGAACAGTTGCAGAGACTCCATCGGTGTCCCTATCCTGTATGATCCGCGTCGCAGTCTCATCATTGGCGCCATCGGAGGCTAACTACTTTGTTACCTAGTTGCCAACAATTTTTGGGGCAAAGAGGATGCTGGTGTTGGGCCTATGCTAGATCGCATGCATGGCGCGAAAGTGACTTGTGATGAGCTCAAGACATTCTATAACAGTGCGTTAGAGATGTCTAGCAGGTGTTACCTTGTCGATCAACTTCTAACTAACGCACCGTGTAGTCCGCGCCGCGATCGAAGATGAATATTCTCGGAAGCTTATGGCACTTTGCCGGAAGCCGCTAGGAACACACGAAACGGGCTCTCTTCGGTCGTCGTTCGATGTTGTCCGTGGCGAGACGGAATCGATAGCCAAGTCTCACGCTGCAATTGCATCACAGATGAAGAGAGAACTTGAGGAGCCATTGATTGCTTTCGCAGGCGGATCGAAGGAGAGAAGGAAGATCATTCAGACAGGAATTGAGCGCCTTCTCAAGACCAAGATACAGCAGACCCAAACGGTGAACAAGGTACGACGATGCTCTTTTCATAATAGATGCCAATGTAAACGAACATTGATTGACGAGGCCCCAGACACGAGACCGATACGAGCAGGATTGTTTGAGGATTAAGGGTTACCTTGCGCAAGGACATATGGTCATGGGGCAGGAGGAGCGTAAAAATAAGGCCAAGCTTGAAAAGACACAAATCCAGCTTGCAACCAGCAGCAGCGAATACGAGGCCGCTGTCAAAATTCTTGAAGAGACTACCGGTCGTTGGAATAAGGAGTGGAAGGCAGCCTGCGATGTACGTCCGGCTCTGAAAACGTTTACTGGGAAATGATGCTAATCGACCATCAGAAATTTCAAGATCTCGAAGAGGAACGAATCGATTTCACCAAGAGCAGCCTCTGGACGTACGCAAATATTGCATCGACTGTGTGCGTTAGCGACGACGCTGTATGTTGGGACCTCCTCATTAACATGATCGGAGCTGACACTGTCATCAGTCTTGTGAGAAGATTCGTCTCGCGTTGGAAAATTGCGAAGTTGAGAAAGACATTGTCTCTTTCATCAAGGAAAGAGGGACTGGACAAGACATTCCGGATCCGCCCAAGTTCATCAATTTCGCCCGGGGCGATGTAAACGACACGAGCTCGGAGTTGTCTGAAGAAGATGGATTTTCTGTTGCTCAATTTCAGCGTACCATCAATCCAGCATTCCGCAGTTCCTCTCCGCAACCGTCAACTTACGAATCTCATCATGAGCTGCGGTCTGACCTGGCAGCAAAGCTGGATCACGATAGCCCTACAACGCCTGCCAGCAGGGAAGCTACGGTCACTCCGCAAAAACCAACGCAACCGCCCGCCCCTCTGGATCTTCGTCGGGGAGGCCATCTTCCACCCAACTATGACCCTAACCAACACGGAGAGATTGGGACGGTGCCGCACAATGCATATCCGACGGACGGAATGACCATGTTTTGCCGCACTGGACCCCCTTCAGAACGTAGCTCGGGAAGCAACAGTGCTTATCGGCCTTCGAGCCGTGATTCACAAAGTGAGATCTCAAATCCAACCTCAGTGTCCAGCCAGGAGGCTCCCAGCGCCAAGCAATCTCCAACAAAGCCTACCAACGGGGTTGCGCTCCCAGGTCTCGGTGGAGACAAGCAGATCCAGAAGAGAAGAAGTGCTTTCTTTAGCAACAGCCCCTTCCGCCGCAAGAGCCGCCATGATAAGGACCGTAATTCTGGCCCCTCACACCCCCCTACTCGCAGCACATGGGAGTCTCCCACCAAGCAGGTCACTCCAGTCAAGGTACCTCAGCCTCAGCCACCGCCAGCGCCCGTCCTTGACAATGATCGGCCAATTGAGAGTCCTGAGCTAGTAGACCCCAGGGCGAATTTCCAACTTAATGTTGGGAACAACGTTTTTGATGTCGCTTCCCCAGACAAGGACACATCCAGGAAGGCTGCTTTAAAGGCCAAGGCTGGAGAGGAGGAGCTTGACCCTATCGCCCGTGCTCTTGCAGATTTGAAAGGCGCTGGAAAGCAGTCCATGACCAGAGTGTCTGCAGACAGGTATCATGGCATTGCCACACCCGTGCCGTCAGCTCCTTCTTCCAACTACAGCGATGCACCTGTAGCGACTCCCCCTCCTGCATATAATGATACGTCGATCAAGAGACTTGATGCACCACAACCCGCCTTTACTTCTGCGCAGATGCAGAAAACAACTCAGAAATACACTGGTCAGACCCAAAGTATGCTCAGGGGAAGTGGTAATACCCCAGCTTTGGCAAGCCGAAACAGCGCCCCGGCGCAGGAAGTTCCTCGAGCGAAACAGGAAGTTCCTCGGGCGAAGTCACCTGTTCCGAGACGCAGTGCCAGCCCACAAGTTGCAAGTCCCCAAGTAATCAGTCCACAGCCAGTCAGCCCTCAGGTTGCGCCTGCTCGTGTGGAGACAAGGATGAGCCACTACAGTCGGGGCGCGAGTCCAAGCCCGAGTACGTACCAGACAAACAGTGTCAGAAGCCGCTATAGCCAATCACCTTCGGTTTCTACCCCTCCTCAGCGTCCTGTTGATGCAGCGCCATCCCCGCGTGAATTCCCTAGGCGAAGCTCTCCAAACCCGGCGGCGGCACGTGCCGTGTCTCCTCAACCGCAATTCAGACAGCGGACCAGGCCTTCCAGCGCCGGTGGTATGGAGTTGCAACTGTTGGGCGGTAGTGGGGATATGTATGGCACCAGTTATGACAGCTATGGCTCTCGGGGCAGGGACTCTGGTCGACCTATGTCATATTACGGCGACGGTGGTAGCCAGGGAGGCAGATCCAGGAGCAGGACTGTGGCTGTTGCTGACCCTAGCAGGCAGTTTAGCCGGGACGGACGTCCAATTCTACATTTTGGTAAGTAGTGAAGTGCCTACAGCAACCAGACCTGTCTCTAGTCGACAACAGAGTCCTGAGCTAACTTTCATTCTTTTCGTAGCACGCGCTTTGTACAGCTATACCGCCGCCATACCCGAAGAGCTCGGATTCACCAAAGGAGACGTCTTGTCCGTTATTCGGCTTCAGGACGATGGCTGGTGGGAGGCCGAGATTACCACCACTCGGGGCCGCACAGGTTTGGTGCCGAGTAACTACCTTCAAATCATCTGAATAATCATCTCACGAGCAGCCACGATTTTTGACCCTTTATGCTTGGTTATGTTTTTGTTAATGATGAAGATACCAATCTTTTGTGCCTCGATGATTCTTGTCTCCTGCGTTTCCCAGCTCGTTCTCTTTACGAACAAACTTTCGATTCTATCCCTTGACTCGCAAATGTGACATTTATGATGGTTTCTTCTTGGGCCCAATCTTCTGTCGGTCTTCCTTTTTCACCATGTTATTTCTCATAATCCAGCCATTACTTTCCCTTCCCGCTTTACTATGTCTGTCTTCTGTACGAGATTGTCCTTCCAGAGGTTGTGTCTATGCCCGGGCAAGTATATGCTTGACCATGCTACAAGTTCAATAATATCAAACTTTCTGCGTTGCACTATGCCGAGGTCAAGCAGCAATGGATTGTTTTCATTCATTCTGCTAGTAAAGCCGGTAACGCCGCCTATGTCCATAAACCATAAGGCCAGCATCGTTTCCACAAGTTGCGCGATGAAGTGAGTCGACTGTGCAGAAACTCTGTGCAAACCCCCAATCTGTGAGACAGATAGTATTCCTCCAACTCCTTGTCCTTGATCCCACCCGGAAAACGCCCGTTGGCAGTGCCAGAAAAGAGAAGAGAAAGAACCATCCAGTCAACCCGTGCAGCTAGACACAATCCCAGCCAAACCCCCAACGCTCACACCTAATCCACCCTCCCACACCCGGGAACCATACACACAAAGCCCTCGGCCGATCTCAACTCCCGCACTATAGCCCTCCTACAATACAGCTCAGTGCAAGCATGGAAACCACCGTGCATGGTGATCGATCCTGCGTTCACCGCGTCCAGAAGGCGTCTGCTGATAGGCATGGCGAGGAGGCTGCGTCTGTGGCTGTAGCTGGGAGAATCCGGTGAGGATTCCAGGATGGATTTCGCCGTATGGCAGGAGATGAGGACATGGTCGTTTCGGTGGCCGCAGGTGTTTGTTACGCGGTGGACTTGGCACATGCTGGAGTCACTAGGGCTGGTAGGATGGGTTCTTTGGGTTAGGGGTTAGGGGTCTCAGTGTGGATGGGATGGGGATAGAGGGTTTTAGACTGACTGATTTCAGGGAAAGATTGGATGAATCTCTTATGGAGAAGTGAGTTCTTCTCGGCTTGGGCATCCGCGTGAAGGGTAATGACGCCTGGATGCAGAGAATCTGTGATGGACATTGAGCAATGCGAAGTAAGCAGTGCAGACACAGGTTGAAGGAAGGATGAGATGGTAAGGAGAAGGTTGATTGAGGCACGTTGTGGCCTGAATCTGCGCCGAGATGCTCTCATGTCAGCGCATGTTAGACTGTTAGTCTGGAAGTATGCTCTTATAAATAGGATAAAGATTCCGTGAATGACTTTCAGATGCCTGTTAATATCAAGAAATGTCCTTCATTAGTGTTACAGACTGAACAATGCAATGTACACCAATAATAACAGGAGGAACATGTCAAACGAACGCTGGAAATGGTGACCAAAGCAGAACAGAAGTATCGCAACATTGAGGGAGGACAGGCGACAAACCAACAGGAAACAAAACAAGGGCTGTACATAGATCCTCACTTTCTGCCAGGCAACTCAGATTCCGCGGCATCGAGAGAGAGAGAACGCAAAAGGGTATTACAACACGATATGCAAGACCGCTAAAGCAAGACATTCTACTCATCATCCACAAAGGAGTTTGCAAGACGCCCAAATATGGGAACCTCGAAGTAGTCAAGCGTGTCGACTGAGCTTCTGTCAGTACATTATCGATGGCCATGATTCGCAGTGAGGACTCACCATCCCGATAGGCGTGCATGCTCAGAAATCCGATCAAGCCGAGGTCGCAAATAAACAGGAGCCAGGAAAGAAAGCTCGACCATGAGAAGATAAGATGGATAATCTGCTCCGGGATGAGTGCTATGATCGTACCAGGAGTATGTGGGTACTTACAAAGATGACTGTGAAGAGCATACTCGATTGCCAAGCATGAAAACTGCCATATGTCAGCTGTATGCACAGATCTGATGGACTCCTGACCGCGTCTATACCGAACATAGTCGCTCTTGTGCTCCAACAGCAACAGGAATACCCCACCCGCTGGAGGGAGAAGCAGATATGCCAGCATAGCTTCAACGTCCATACGGATCGGGAGGCTTGTTTCAAAGGCTCCTAGATTCCATCTTCCACCCTCAACATCTCGTCCATACCCAGGGTTTCCCTGTCCGCCGTGGATCTGATTTCCGCCTGCGAAATGACTCGGGGATGGAAGGCCGCCTGATTGCACACCGGGGATCGGGGGAGACCCGCGTGGGGACTGAAGAATAGGCGATTTGATGCGATTTGCGTCGCCTAGTGATGGTGAAAGAGCTCGTTCGACCTCAGGCGACTCATCCTGATAGGGTGCGAAGTTCATTATGTCTGCAGACGGAGTGCAGCCAGGTTAGGAAGCACAATCAAAGAACTTCTTATCGGACTGCTGGATGCACCTGTTTATCCGTACTTATCGGAAGCTCGTATTGGTGTCTTGGCGCCTCAGGCAGAGAATGTCTTTTATTTACATGGCTCTTCCCCTCACACGATCTCTGTCGCAACAGACTGCAATTGATAAATAGGCACATATATCTGTCCATTGAGCTAGGGTATCATATTCTGTCATTGCGTTTTTACTCGTTTCAAAAAGTATAGTACATGAAGCAATAGGATCATCAGACATCTGCTCTATGCTCTCCCGCGTCCACGCGTGACCCCAGTTCCTCTTGCGATACCACTGACTGGCCTGCGCGTAGATGTCGTCGTAGAAGTTCCCCCTCGGGTTGCTGTAGTTCTTGTTGTACTTGAGCTGGTTCCGGAGTAGGACACGCTCGGAGTTCTTCCCAGGCCAGTGTTTCGGACAACTCTACCTCTAGAAGCTGTCCCACGTGTCCCTCTAGCGCTGGCTGCCAGAGCTCTCTTCTTCTCTTCCTCCTCTGCCTTTCGTGCTGCTGCCTCTCTCTGCTGTTGTAGCTCTCGTTCGCGTCTTTCTGCGGCCTGTTGGCGCAGAAGCTCCTCATTTTCCATATCCGCAACATCCTGGATGGCGCCTTGCCAGTTGGGATTGAGTATCAGTCGTTGGTTATGCTCGGTTTGAGAGAGAATACGGGTCCATGTGTTCAGTAGAGTTGAAGCAGAGTCAACGGTGCGCGCAACAGTCTGTGCGGGCCTATATTAGCAAGAATTTCCCATTCACCGACAGGAAGAAGTGCGTTGACATACATCCATATTCCCTTTTGCACGATCCAAACTCCCCAGTAGTCCTTCGATCACTTGATTGATATTTCGGACCGTCTGTAATTCGTGTCGCAACGCGGCTTCGCGCGCTTCCTGGCGATCGAAAAGTGTCTCCCCATCGTGGGAGGGCCTGGTCTCGGGTGTAGTGCTGCGCTCCTCTGGGACTTTGTGATGATGAGTTGGCTTGTTGCTTCGCCTTTTTGAGGGAGAGTTCCAGAGGTCATCGGAATCGTCATCCGATAGCTGCAGCCTGTCCATCTCCTCCGCTGTGCTGCGTACTGCCATGGCCTGTAGAAAGTCCGGTGTTATGTGGAACTCGCGTCGAAAGTGGGATTGAACGTGTCGGGGAGACAATTGTTGATGTTTGTGGTGAAGTGATTTGGCAGTAGATCGCAAGTTGATGGTTGCATAAACACAACGATAATCTCTCGGGCGATAATGTTTATTGTGTTAGGCTCTCGAATCAATGTCTCTCTAGGTACTCCGTACATCGATTGTTTTAGTGGTGGTGGGGCATTCAATTGGTTCAGCCTCTTTTTCTTCCCTTGTGATGCTAATAATTAGCGGTGGCTGGTCGACGTCAACCAACCGACCGGGCATTCTTGGGCGGCCTTCCCCCTTCACCATCTATCCACCCTTGGGTTGCAATCAATCCTCACTTCTACCTCTCTATCGTATATTTTCTCATTATCTCATCTTTGATAATCAACATCCATTGATCGATTGATCAACTTAAAGGCTTCCTCCGCTCCTTATTGCGCGTTATCAGTCAGAAAGCCTCGTTGATTAGACGCTCCTTCGGTTGGGTTGTGTTGTGCGTGTTGCAAGTCGCGCGTTTTTCCTCCCTTTGTCTCCTTCGATCCAGCCATCGAGCCATTATTCGATCATACCACCAACGGTTCTCCGTTTTAGCGACACAGATAGTCATTGATCCAGATTTATTGTCATAGAGATCTTGTTGGAACGTTTGGTGTATCTCTACATCTTTACTGCAGGAACCAAGTTCCCCGTCATTTGACGTGTCTCACACAACACACAATGGCGACGACACCACCCCCGCCCTCTACTTTGCGAATTCCTCCTACTCCTCGACATGGAGCAGGCTATGATCAATATGAACCGTATTCTACTAGATATTCGACGAGATTAGCGGGTCAGCGAGCCTCAAGAGAATCCCGTGCTACTCCTCCGCCCAGTTTCCCGACCGCTCACACCAAGTCAGGCCTCAGAAGCGCGAAGAAGCAGAGCAACGATGAGTTTGAGGCCTTGTCGCCCCCAGGATCGGTTTTCGGCTCTCCCCGGAAGAAGCACTCGAGCCTGACCAGAACGTCTGCTGCAACACATTCACTGGAAGACCCCTCTGTGTCAGACAGCTCAGACCCCTTCATCACCGCAGAACTCTCACATACTCAACAACGTCCTCTCCACAAATACCGACCCACCATGACTGACGGCATGCTACCCACGCCTGCCAAAACGCCACGAAAGAAGGTAGTTGGTGCCATCGGAGACACTGCTCGCACCCTGTTTCCACCAGCTCAGAGCTCGGCGTCTTCGCGAAGCAAGAAAACCAAGAAGGACACTGCCTACTCTTTGGACAGTTTCATCGACAATGCCACACGGGGAGCTTCGCAGATTGAGATCTACACCGACTCCCGTGATCGAATCCCAGAGATCGACGAAAGTGAGGGAAACCCTTTCTACAAGAATCACAACCGTCAGGAATCTACTAGCCATATGACTGCACGTGCTTCGAGAAGGAGCAGAAGGGAGGAGATGAAGCGTGATCAGGAAGTTGATGAGGCGATCAAACGGGAGGATGGAATGGTCTACGTATTGTGAGTATTACCCTGTTTCCGCTTTACTCGTTGGGCTTATTCTAATTTTCTTAAAAGTCGAGGCAAGAAGATGTTCCGCAGGTTCACGGAAGACGTCGAAAGTGACGGAGAAGACGAGAACGATTTGGGCCTGTTCGCAGCGCGTCCGGACTTAATGGACTCGTCCATCAACACCACCGTTCGCCCCTTGACCCGCTCATCCATCAAGCCGCGTGTACTTTTCCCAGGCGCCAATGACCGTGGTCATTCAGAGCACCACATGAGTGACGCTGACGAAGAAGCGGCCACCGACATTGACGAGCACGTGCTTCACAAAGACCTTGAGGATGACGCCGATCAGGCCACTGATGTCGAAATGCCACAGCGACCGGTGACTCCCCCACCGAAGTCAATGGTTGCGACACCTCCGTCTCCAGGTGCTACTGTACGTTCCCTGCGACCTCGAGGCAAGCGAGAGGGCGCAGAACACACCGAAACACCAAATGCGTCCGAAACAAATACAAAGCGCGTCAGTCCATTTGCTGGTTGGCTGCGCAAGAAGCAGACTCCAGCGAATGCGGGATCCAAGGCGAAGAAGAGAGACGCGGACGCAGCTGCTAGTCCTGGTGGCCCGGCAATGAAGAAGACGAGAGGGAACAGAGTTACCCCTGCGTTGTGAGCTCATTCGCATTGCCTGAATCATGAATCATTATCTCTTCTCTACGCGCTTGGTTTTCATGGTCTCCGCTTGATGTTCGTCTCTTCGAAAGATCGGTCTTTCTTTGCCTGCTGAACTTCTGGAGCAGGAATGGGAGCATGGGTACGTTATTTGGCTGGAATCTCGCTTGAGGATTGGCGGGATGGAGTTATTCTGCTTTTTTCACCTTTTCGGGCGCGTCGATTCCACTTTGCGTTGATTGAACTAGTCGGAATTAGATATCCCAATGAACATGAACTCAGATTGTCACTTATCCTTGAAAAGTAAACTTGCCTTACAGCTCAAAAGTCAGGCATTAGGCATCTCTGCTGATCTACGTAAACATTCAATACTGTGCCGTAGATCCGATGACAGATAACTACGGAGTACAGAGGTACACTTTGAATTTCAGGGCTCTTTAAGCCCAAGATCAATCATTGCTGGGAAGTCATAAAACATCGAATAGTACTCCGTAGTCCTGCTACAAGTACCACCGAATCATCAATCTGCATGACAAGGAGAAGCGAAAAATTACAAAGAAGGAATGACTGACACGACCAACGACAAAAAGTGCAGATAGTGGCTTACAAGACAAACTCTCCATGAGCGTTCCTAGGTATGAATTGAAGCGATGTACCCTGGACAGTGCGCTATTACAAGAAAGGCAGTGTGACTTTTGTTTGTCCAGACAAGTGAAATGATGCAGGGAGTAATGAGAGTGTGGATAGGGTATCTAGTTCGTATCTGTGTGGGAGAAGAATGAGGTGCACAGTATGCTATGTGGTTCATTTATCGGATGATGTCTAGTTCATCGTCATCGTCATCATCATCATTAGGTTTTGTCATGGCATCAGAGTTGCCGCCCAGGCTGTCCCGTCCGGCTTCCTTGATACCCTTTGACGTTATGAATCGAGTCTTCTTGACGCTGCCATTGTGCTGTCTGTCGCCGTCGTAGGCGCGCTTCAGTGGACTGAGCTTTACAGCGTTTGCTCTCCTGAAGCCCGTTAGGCCGAGGCTGGTCGCAGAAACAGGGGTGGAGGCCTCGAAGCTTGATTTCTCTTGTGAAGATGAGGCGGCGCTTTCGGGACGAGAGGATGTTACCGGCTTGTTTGCTCTTGCGCGAAGGTACTCGGCGCCCACGTTGCCAGCTCGAGAGGTGATTAGCTTCTGAGTAATGTCTCGTTCGCGCTGCTGCTCCACAAGACGTCTCCGGAAGCGTTCTTCCTTGCTTTCCGCCCCACGGCCCATCATGCCTGCTGCGATGAACGGATCTTCGTCGTCGGCGTCGATGAGACTGGCGGCAGATTGGCCGGGTGCTCTGTGGTGGAAAGATTGCCCGCCGCCGCCATGAGACTTGGGAGCGGGTGCAATGTAGTACAAGGACTGAGACCCAAGATCATATTGAGGACCATTTGACTTCAGACCGTTTCTGTTTCCTGGTATCTTCCCACCACCGAAAGCCCCAGTCCGTGGGCCTGAACGGCCACCAGGACCAAACATGCCTGTTCCACTGTTGACTCCCATCCGCTGTGACTGTGCGCGACGGACCTGGAGATCGAGGTGAAAATCGCAGAACTCGGTCTTTCGACCATCCACCCATGATTGGCAGGTCTTGCCGTCCTTCCTGACAGCCTTACAAAAGCCTATGTCTTGGGCATATCCAACCTCAAGAATCTTGTCATCAGACGAGGAGATAGACAGGCTGAACCTGTTGGTGTCTGTCTTATTTTTGGGAGGCGGCATGATGGTAGGATTCAGGATGGCAATAAGGATGCCTTCCGATAACCTGTAATATCGAGGAAAGGCAGTGTCGAATAGGAACAAGTCAATTGTCCACTTAAGATCAGTGAGCGTGATAGCCATATACCTGTTGCTGTTGTTCAGCCCATCATCGAAAGGATCAACTTCTTTTGCCGATACATTTTTGGTATCCTTGATTTGCTTTGGCTCAGACTTTGAGGCAACTATGCCGAAGACAACGTAGTCTCCGTCAATCTCCTCGGGAAGCTCAAAGTCTGGCGCTTTCACTGTCCTCAGAAGGTCTGGAATTCGAAGTATCTTCTTGTCGGAGAGGGTTCTAGTCAAAAAGGAGTGTGGCAGTATTCGATTCGATAAGTGAAGCGACGAGTACGGCTCAAACTTGGATGAATCTGGTGTTTTCGTTGTTACCTCGTCTCGAGTTCCGTTGTCAAGGTCGGAGAAAGAATCTCCGCGAGACTGAGAGGATGCCGGTCCAGTGTCGGATTGATTGGGTCGCCTATGGGAGAATGGTCGGGATCCCTCAGAGCCTGCGTCTTTACGCACACTGGGCGCAGTCTGGCTTCGTTTGAGGGAAGGCTTGAGATTGTGAAACGATCGCATGACATCATCTCTGCTGAAGGGTTCGACTTGACGGCTTCTCGTCGGTGACCTGGGGAGGGGGTTTGTTCTCGCCTCAGCCGCTGCTGTCTTAAAGGCCTCCATCTCCGTCTTGTCGAACTGGAACGAGGAGGTTCGATTGACTTGAAGTCTCAGTTCTCGTTCCCTGCGAGACTTTTCAGCTGTTCGGCTTTCAGCAATCCGTTCACTAAACGTCTTGCCCCGTTTCCCACCCTCTTCTGCAGCCAGCATCTGTGCGTGGGATGCGAAGATATCGCCGGAGTGAGACGTGGCAGCTTCACGAGTCCCATGCTTGCTTGTTGGCCGGGTCCCCAACCGGGAGCTTGGCGGACGTTTTAGACAAACATCGCTGCCTTTGAGACCCTTGTCGATGCCGAGAAGGTATCTCCGTG